CCCAGCTCGCGGGGGCATCATGGGCCATCGGCATCTCGGTGGAAGTAGCTCTGTTCACGTGGCTCTTCAGCCTGCCCTTCTGCGGCTCCCACCGCATCCACCACTTCTTCTGTGACATCCCACCGGTGATGAAGAAGGCCTGCACCGACACAACCAAGATGAAGATTGTAGGCTTCACTGTGTCAGTGCTGTTTATCTTGAGCCCTTTCCTTCTGATAATCCTGTCGTACGTCTGCATTCTCTCCACCATCCTCAAGCTGCCGTCGGCGGAGGGCAGGCATAAAGCCTTCTCCACCTGCTCCTCTCACCTCATGGTGGTGACTTTGTTCTATGGAACGGCCCTGATCACCTACTTGGTGCCCAAGTCTGAATCCACCGTGGAGACTGATCAAATGATTTCCCTTGTGAACACCATTGTGGCCCCTGTGTTGAACCCCCTAATATACACGCTGAGGAACAAAGAGGTGAAGGAAGCCTTGAGAAAAACTGTAGAGAAGGGCATCTTTGCTCACAACTGAAGAAATTAGAGAATGGAACGTAGAGTGAGTCAAAAGAGAGGGAGAAATGGATAATCATAAATATTTTATTGAATTTCTCACATTGACTCTCAATATTTTTAATCAAATTTGGTCATTTGGTAAGTTGTGACGTTTTCTAAATCTATTGGGCATTGAGAAGAGAAACAATTGTGACAAAAAAAGGGAAATTTCTAAATTTCTTAATTTTCCTGAAAAAACAATGGTCGGAACCTTTGACCATTTTAAAGTTCATCGAAACATCAATGAGGAATATTTAGCTGAAGTATTGTCCTGATTTTCGGATCATGGGACTTTGAAATGTCGAAGAAAAATGTAGCTTTAAACAGGAAACCTGGAGGCCAATCACTGTCGACGTCTGTGCCCAGGCTGTTCGACCGGATAATATCGGCCATAGATGTTATGCTCTAAGCCACTCTGGGAGGGGGTGTCATCCAATGTGTGTAGCCAGGCAGTGATGTGAAGACACACGCATTGTGTGAAATCATATTGAATTAAACAAATATGGATTTGGCTTAGATTTGGGTATGGAGGATTCAGTTTCTCTTCGTACACTCCTGTCAGAGTTGCTTCCCACTTTCGCATTCAGAGTGCACAAGATGGGGGCCTGGAAAGAGGTTAAAAAACAACAATCCAAAACACCTTTTCCTCTACAGGCACTAGTAGCCAAAAACGTCCCTCCAGAATCACAATAATACACAACAGCTGCAGTCTCTGTAGGTGACCCATCAGTCAGAGGCCTGCAGACACAAACACACACACAGACCTTCCAGGACACAAGGATCAAAGCATCACCTTAAAAGAAGGGATTTTTAGTACAAAACAAAAGATAAACTTGAGGAAGCATCCTTGGTTGCTAAACGTTACAGAGCAACCAAGGAAAGCAAATTAAAACACAGAGAAAAGTCTCTGCAAACCAAGCTTAGATGGTAAATGGGGAGGGGAGGCAGAGATTCCCAGAGAGCTGTTCAAACCAAACCACAAAATTAAGAAAATACCCTGATTGCATCTAGATTCACTTTGTTCCCTTTATTGACTCACGATCCTCCCTTTGTTCAGTCCACTTCCATGCCCCAAATTCCTGGTAGGCATGGCAGTCCTGCCTGGGGTTAAATCATTCTGTGCCGCTCAACTCCTGGTTTATCTCTGTTGCACCAAGAAAGCAGGAGAGGAACCTCTATCCAATTCAAATTTCAACCCCGTATGCTCATTGGTTCTCTGGCTCTCTGCCAGCACCTTTGCTAGCTACCGAAGTTTAACCCCTTAGTTGTTGGGTGTTGGTCAGCACTCCTCCTGTCCACCACATCCCAATCACCACTCACACAACTTGATGCAAGAAGGCAAATCTGACAGCAATTCCCTCATCTCTGTTTCATTCAATAATTTGCCAACAGTGTGTGTCTCACCCAACCACAGTCAAAGAAACAATCCATGGCCTGTTTCATACAATCATGGAATCATAGGGTCTGTCTAGACTCCATTCCTCTGTCGCCAGAGGCATGTAAATTAGGCATACTTACATTACAAATGAAGCAGGGATTTAAATCTCCCATGCTTCATTTGAATACAAATGGCCGCTGTGTTTTGTGGAGACAGTGGATTGTTGGGAAAACGCAGCTTTCAAGATGGGGATCAGGCGACAAAGAAAGCCTTCATTGGATGATTCTGTAAACCTCGTTTTAGGAGGTATAGGGGATTGGCCACCAAATGCTTTCTTTGTTGCTGGTTCCCTGTCTTGAGAGCCGCTTTTTGCCGACAAACTGCTGAATCCGCAAACGAGGTGGCCATTTTTATTTAAATCCCTGCTTCATTTGCAATGTCGGTATGTCTAATGTACATCCCCTTGTCGCCAAAGGGATGTAGTCTAGACATACCCATAGAGCTGACAGAGACCTCAGGAGTCACCACGTCCAGCCCCCTGCCCAAGGCAGGACCAACCCAACAAAGTCAACCCAGCCAGGGCTTTGTCAAGCCGGGACTTAAACACCTCTAGGGATGGAGATTCCACCCCCTCCCTAGAGGACCCATCCCAGGAGAGACGCAGGTCTCAGGAGTTGCTGGGAGTCAGACCAGAGATTTAATGAGTGGCCGGGGAAAAAGGACACAAACGATTCCCCTGCAGGGGCTGAACTGGCCCCTCCTGGGCTCTGGCAGAGACATCTCCTGAAGAGCAACAAGGATGATGCAACCGTATTTACCCCATTGAAAACAACGTTTCCCTCCTGAGCTGGTGTCGGTGTCCCTGGCACAGCAGAGACTGTCCCTGAACTGCGCCTGGGGCTGTTTGGCACCTGGAGATGCTGCGTGTTTGTCTGTGAGATTCTCGTCTCCCAGCTCTGTGGCTGCCTCACCCCAAACACTGATGGGCGCGTCTCACAGGGTCATGGCCCCTTGACCGAGGGGCAGGGCAGGGAAGGTCACAGGTCTCTGGATCATCCCGTCCGGCCTGCTCTGAGTCACAGCGTGTTAACTCTCATCCCACAGGCCCAAGGACTATTTCAGCCTAGGCCTAAAAGAGAAACGTCCTTAGTGGGCCGAATCCCGGAGCAATGGGAAGGGCGCAGGTCCGGGAGGCAGAATGGACCATGTCACGTAACGCTGAGAAACCGACGCTAGTGGCAGGAACAAAAGAACAGTTTGTGCAAAATACAAACGCTCTGTGTGTGTGTGAGAGAGAGTCTCTGTGTGTGTGTGTAGCCATGCACTAATGATAGCTGTATAGGAAGTAAAGGCGAAAGAGGGAAGCACTGACAGCAGACACAACAATGCACTCTGGATCTAGTCATACTCCAAGAGTTTAGAGTCGCGAGGTGGGGGAGCTGGTTTGGGTCATTGCTGGGGAGAGGCAGCAGCTGGTCCAGCTGTAGATGTCAGCTCCTCACTGCATCGCGCTCCTCCCCTGGCTCCTAGGCCCCCCCAGCAGCCCGGCTTAGGAGAGCAGCGGATGCCGCAGGTACTAGGCGAAGGTCACCAGGCTGTGTCTGTGTTTGCCCGCAACTCAGGGGCTGCAGACGGCAGAGAGGGGACCCAGGCTGTGTGGCCAGGCCAGGCTGGGCTAGTCTCACTACGCAGTGGCCACTGATGGCTTCCAGTAAGGGGGCCAGGGTCAGTATCCGAGGTCCAGTCTCATAAGCTGGAGGTAAAGGGATCATTGGCCTGTGGGAGAAAGTGACCACGGTGTTGCCATGGTGATGAACGACAAGTAGGGTGGGAAGCTCGGCTGAACCTGCACCTGGCACCATCCCATCAGGGTTCTGTGCCCTGGCAGGGCAGTGGGGCGCAATGGTTAGAGCAGGTGGGGCTGGGAGTCAGAGCCCCCTGGGTTTCTGTCATGGCTCTGGGACAAGAGCGGGGCCCAGACTCTGAGACTCAGGCACCTGGAGCCATGAGCCCTGGAGGTTGGTTCTGCCCCTGCCCCTCGCTCTGTGAGGTGTGTTGCTGGGAGAAAAAAGTGTTGCACAATTTACCACAGTCAGTAAATGCCGTGGTGATTTTCATCCATAAAACACACGTGAGGACAAGGAAGAGGGGAATACCACAGTTTCATACTGACTGACTGACCGAGTGACTGTTGTTTTGTTGCACTTCCAGGCAGGGCCGTTCTATCTCTGAGGAGCATGATGAGACGTTTCCCCAGGGACGTGGTCCAAGAAGGCAGGGAAAGAAATAAAAACCCCTGTTGCCTTCAGCACGTCCAGCGCCTGCCACGAGCAGAGGGAACCGCTCCTCCTACACAAGGTAGGGTAGATATCAGTGACTATGCTCCCCAGCCACTCACCCAGCGAAACCCATCGGCATCCTGCCTAGGTCTGCAGTTACCACAAATCATGTCGCCCCTTTCTTCATTGGAATTTCCCGTGTGTGTGTAGAGAACCTTTGTGTGTGTCTGACACATGGGCTGAGTGTGTGTTCACCCCCTCTATCTATCTATCTATCTATCTATCTATCTATCTATCTATCTATCTATCTATCTATCTATCTATCTATCTATCTATCTATCTATCTATCTACACCCCCCTCTATCTCTCTCTTTATCTATCCATTGATTGATGTATTTGTCTCTTTCTGAACTAATCTAACAATCATGGGTCAGGTCAAGAGTTTGATATCCGGGCGGTGATGCCCGTTTATAGCAGGTGATGTTCTGGTCCTCAATTTCCATAGAGCCCACCCGAGCGCTAGGTGGGCACCAGACATGCTCTTCACCCCCGCCATGGAAGGTTGCGTGATGTTTGAGGTGTTGGGGTGTTATTTCTTGGAGAGATGGAGCCCTTTCCTCTGTGTGTGCATGTGTGTAATTTTCCAGGCCGATGGTCTTGCGAGTATACAGAAATTCAGGTAACAGGAGAACTCGATTTTCATGTCTGGAAGTGCGAACTCAGCATTTAATCCCAGTCTCTTCTCTCCCTCAATCCCAGCTTCCCTCATGTCATGTCACTGTTATTTGATACGTGGCTTGGAGAGATGGATTTTGAAGGGGCCAAGAGCGTGCAAAATACGATATTTGCTACATCTCGTTTCTACTTCGACTCGGTCACTTCACTGTCAGGCTTGGTATTGTGAAAACCCTTCTCAGCCAATAACCTTCAGGTGAAACATTGGTGGGGAATGGCTGCTACACTGTTGGATGTTCCTTCCTGTAAAATTCTTCATCGCAAGGTCCTAGGACAAAGCCACGCAACTGGTGTAGGCCACTGCAGCTCATAAGAACAGAACATGAGAATGGCCAGAGTGGGTGAGACCCAAGGTTAAAGAATCCCAGAATCCCAGAGCTGGAAGAGACGTCAGGAGTCATCAAGTCCAGCCCCCTGCCCAAGGCAGGACCAATCCCAACTCAATCACCCCATCCAGGGCTTGGTCAAGCCGGGACTTAAAAACCTCTAGGGATGGAGATTCCTTCACCTCCCTAGGGAACCCATCCCAGTGCTTCCCCACCCTCCTAGGGAAATTCTTTCTCCTAATATCCAACCTAGACCTCTCCCACTGTAATTTGAGCCCATTGCTCCTTGTTCTGCCATCTGTCTGTACTGAGAACAGCCTCTCTCCACCCTCTTTGGAACCCCCCTTCAGGAAGTTGAAGGCTGCTCCACTGTGGCTCGTAAGAACAGAACATGAGAACGGCCAGAGTGGGTCAGACCAAAGGTTCATCTAGCCCAGTGTCCTGTCTGCCCTCAGTGGACCCACTGAGCTATTCAAATTTACACCAGACAGGGGTCTGGTCCCTGGCCTCTGTTTGCATCATGATTCACCATAACAGCAGCTGGAATGATTTCCCTTGTCCTCTACTCTTTTGGGAAGAATGAATTTTTGCAGGACACAAAAGGCCAAAATCCCCCATTGTTTTCCACATTCATCCTGCCTCTTGTTCTTCCAAACGTTCCAAACATGATGGGCTCAGGAGCCTCAGTTTCCTCGTGTGAACAGTTGTCACAAGTCTGAGCTATAAGGGTATGTCTACACTGCCACCCTAGTTCCAACTAGGGTGGCTAACGTAGTCATTAGAACTTGCAAATGAAGCCTGGGATTAAAATATCCTGGGCTTTATTTGCATGTTCCCAGGCACCGCCATTTTCAAATTCCCGGAAGTTTGAACTCCCTGCCCACGGCTATATGCGGCATGGGCTAGGTAGTTCGAATTAAAGCTCCTAATTCGAACTACCATTACTCCTCCTGCTCCTCCTCCCAGAATTGGGTTAGCTTCATTCACATTTTTTATTTATTAGATTCAGTTCCAGTGTCTCTTTGTCACCACTGCAGATGATGGATTCTGAAGGCGACCCAGGCGAGAACCAGACCATCTCTGATGGGTTCATCCTGGTGGGGTTTTCCTACCTTAACAAGCTTCAAATCCTTCTGTTTCTGCTGCTTCTGGTCATCTATCTGGTTGCCCTGATGGGGAACCTGTTCGTTATCCTACTGATAAAGCTGAACCCCTCCCTCCACACCCCCATGTATTTCTTCCTGGTCAACCTGTCCTTCTTGGAAATCTGCTACACTTCCAGCGTGGTCCCTCAGCTGCTGGTTCACCTGCTGGTGGAGGAAAACACCATCTCCCTTGCAGGCTGTGCAGCCCAGATGTACGTCTTCAATATCATGGGCCTCACAGAATGCTGCCTTCTCGCAGCCATGGCCTACGACCGCTACGTGGCCATCTGCCACCCCTTACACTACACAACCATCATGAGCAGCCGGGCATGTGCCCAGCTCGCGGGGGCTTCATGGCTCACTGGCATCTCTGTAGAAGTAGCTCAGACCGCCTGGATCTTCAGCCTGCCCTTCTGTGGATCCCACCGCATCCACCATTTCTTCTGCGACATCCCCCCAGTGCTGAAGAAGGCCTGCGCCGACACATTGAAGGTTAAGATTTTAGGTTTCATTGTGTCACTACTTTTTATCATGATCCCTTTCCTGTTGATAATCCTGTCCTACATCCTCATAATTTCCGCCATCCTCAGGCTGCCATCGGAGGAGGGGAGGCGTAAAGCCTTCTCCACCTGCTCCTCCCACCTCATGGTGGTGACTTTGTTCTATGGAGCAGCCCTGATCACCTACCTGGTGCCCAGATCTAGCTCCACCCCGGAGAGTGATCAAATGATTTCCCTCATGTACACAGCTGTGACACCAATGTTGAACCCCATAATATACACGCTGAGGAACAAAGAGGTGAAGGGAGCCCTGAGAAAAAAGATAGACACTGGCATTTTTGCACACAACTAGAGAAATCAAAGCAAGCAGGGTCCGTCAAAAGAAAGGGATTAAGGGAAATTCAGAAATTCTTTGTTAAATTTCTCTCATTGACTCTTTATATTTGTTCTGAAATGTTATCACTTGAAATGCTTTCACATTGTTCCAGACCTGCCGGGATAATGAGACGAGAACTGGTTGTTACAAGAAATGTCCAGCTGCTCCCTGGGCAGCGGAGTTAGGCAGGGGACTGGACTCGGTGACTCCTGAGGTCTCAGCTAGCCCTGGGATTTTAGCATCCCAAGTCTTTGCATGACATCTTCAAAACCACCCACCATCAAAGCCACCGTGTTGACTGGACGTGCCTGAGGGGACGATGTGTTTCTCCCAGGGTATGTCTACACTATAGAGTTTGTTCGAACTAACGGACGTTAGTTCGAACTAACTTTAATAGGTGCTACACTAGCGCTCCGCTAGTTCGAATTTGAATCGAACTAACGGAGCGCTTAGTTCGAACTAGGTAAACCTCATTTTACGAGGACTAACGCCTAGTTCGAACTAGCTAGTTCGAACTAAGGGCTGTGTAGCCCTTTAGTTCGAACTAGGGGGAGGCTAAGGCTTCCCAGGTTTCCCTGGTGGCCACTCTGGCCAACACCAGGGAAACTCTATGCCCCCCTCCCGGCCCCGGACCCCTTAAAGGGGCACGGGCTGGCTACGGTGCCCGTGCCAGGTGCAAGCCTGCCAGCACCCAGCTAGCAGACCCTGCACCTGGCACGGCCTCTCCCCAGGCCCAGGCTGGCGGCTCCCGGGAGCTTGCCCAGGACCGCAAGAAGTGGGCACCTTCCTGGGCTAGTGCAGACATAATGGACCTTGTCCACGATCTCTGCACTAGGCACAGGAAAGTGGCCGTCTAGGGCAGGAGAGCTGCCAGCCTGGCCACCCAGGACCAGGTGTGCATGAAAATCAAGGGGGTCCACTGAGACCCCCGACCCTGAGCCCTGAGCTTACAATGGCCGTCCTGGGTCAGACCAAAGGTCCATCTAGCCCAGTAGCCTGTCTGCCAACAGCGGCCAACCCTAGGGACCCTGGAGGGGATGGACCGAAGACAATGACCAAGCCATTTGTCTCGTGCCATCCCTCTCCAGCCTTCCACAAACTTTGGGCAGGGACACCACTCCTACCCTCTGGCTAATAGGACTCCATGGACCCAACCTCCATGACTTGATCTCACTTCCCTTTAAACTCTGTTCTAGTTGTAGCCTTCACAGCCTCCTGCAGCAAGGAGTTCCACAGGTTAACTATTTGCTTTGGGAAGAAGAACAACTTTCTCTTACTAGTTTCAAGCCTGCTACCCATTCCTTTCCTTTGGTGTCCTCTAGTCCTTCTTTATGGGAACTCAGGAAGAACTTTTCTGAATGCACCCTCTCCACCCAACCCCTGCTTTTAGAGACCTCTATCCTGTCCCCCCTCCGTCTCCTCTTTTCTAAGCTGAACAGTCCCAGTCTCTGTAGCCTTTCTTCATCTGGGACCTGTTCCCAACCCCTGATCATGTTAGTTGCCCTCCCCTCTCCCAGCCTTTCTCTTCCCCTCTCCCACCTCCTTTTCCCAGTCTCCCCCAGTTTTTTTTCAATAAAGACAGAGTCAATGTTGGAAGAAACGTTATCTTTATTTTGTACATCAATAAGAAGGGGGGCTAGGGAAGGGTAAGTGGAAGGAGGTGAGGGAGGAATGGGGTACGAGCCCCCGATGGGGAGGACTGGGCTGGCTCTGCGGGCTTCTGGGGGTGGAAGCTCTCCTGCAGCCCCCCAATTACTCCCTCTCCCCAGATGGCAGCCTGCGGCAAGTGCAGCCGGGCTGATGGCCGAGTGGTGTGATGTGCCCAGTGTGGGCACTCAGGGCACTCCAAGCCAGAACTTCTTTGCAAGCGGGGCACCCCTTAGAACTGTGTGTCCGGGGTGGGGGTCGGGACCCTTTAAGCGCAGCCCTCGGCTAGCCTGAGACAGCATCTCCATGCTCTAAGTCCTCCTTTTATGCCCTGCCGGCACTGCTTCCGGCCATCCTTAAGCCCTGTTCAGAGTCCACTCAATGTGGACTTGCTAGTTCGAACTAGCAAAACGCTAGTTCGAACTAGTTTTTAGTTCTAGATGCGTTAGTTCGAACTAGCTTAGTTCGAATTAACTAATTCGAACTAAGTTAGTTCGAACTAGCGCTGTAGTGTAGACGTACCCCCACAGATTCCATTCTTCTCAATAGATGACCCATTTGTGTTTCAACATCTCCAATTCCCAGTACATAAGAACATAAGAACGGCCAGACTGGGTCAGACCAAAGGCCCATCCGGCCCAGTGTCTTGTCTGCCAATAGTGGCCAATGCCGGATGCCCTAGAGGGAGTGAAAAGCACTGGGAGCCATTCATCCCCTCTCATCCATTTTCAGCCGCTGACAAACACAGCTAGGGACACCATCCCTGCCCATCCTGGCTAATAGCCATTGATGGACCTAATCTCCATGGATTTATCTAGTTCTTTTTTGAACCCTGTCATTGTAGGTCTACACTGTACGGCTATTTCAAATTAAGCAGTTCTGGAATAGTTATCCTAAATAGCTTATTTCAAAATAGCAGGTCTACACTGCAGGGAAGTCTCAAAATGAGTCTGAGGCTGGCTTCCCTTATGTAGACGTGCTATCTTGATTTAGGATGCACTGGCGAGGAATAACTTAGAATGGCCCTGGTGAGGGGCTATTTCAAAATTGTAGCAATGGAGTATCCACACACACCTCATTTTGAAATAGCTAATTCAGAATAGATGTTATTCTTTGTAAGACGAGCTTTACAGATTTTGAACTAAACCAGATATTATTTCGAAATTATTTTGAAATAATGGAATGGCTATGTAGATGCTCACTTTGTTATTTCAAAATAACAATAGTTGTCTCAAAATAACGGTGCAATGTAGATACACCCTTGCAGCCCTGGTCTTCACAACATCCTCTGGCAAGGAGTTCCACAGGTTGCTTTTGCAATACCCATTAACAAAGCACAAGGTCAGTCCTTCACAATGTCTGGCGTGGGCTCAAGAACAGATTGCTTTGCACATGGCCAACTACATGTTGCTGCATGGAGAGAAGGAAGGGCAAAACCTAGCTGTATTCCAGCAAAAGTCAGAACAACACCAAATATTGTCAACCAGCAAGCTTTGTGTAAAGTTTGAATCACGCTCCTATTTTCATGCATACGCATTTCTTTTAATAATGCATACCATTATTGGATCTAACCAAGTGAGTTATAAGATCAAGAATACATATTCCTGCACATCCAGAAATATAATTTATGCTATCATGTGCCGAAAGTGTCCATCTGCTATGTACATTGGACAAACGTCTCAGACACTTCGCCAAAGGATCAATGCCCACAGAACAGATATTAGACAGGATCACAAAGAAAAAACAGTTTCTTGCCATTTCAACCAGAAAGGATATTGTCTCATCGACTTGATTACCTGCATCCTGCTTCAAAGACCTTTTCACACCAGACTTGAAAGAGAATCCTCTGAACTGTCATTCATGCTTAAATTCGACACTTTACACTTAGGTTTAAACAAAGACATTAATTATCTTACCCATTACAAAGATAGCTTCCCCAATTATCACCTCTAATATCATTAGCTCACAGACATTTACCTCCCCCCCCCCCATTCTCCTTCTGTTCTGAAATGTGATTTGTCCTTTTCATATGTGTTCATTTTTTTTAATTGTATCCTTTGGTATATATGGTTGTGACAATTTTCTTCCACTATTTGATCTGAGGAAGTGGGTCTGGCCCATGAAAGCTCATCACCTAATAAACCATCTTGTTAGTCTTTAAAGTGCTACATAGTCCTGTCTTTTGTTCCAGCTACACCAGACTAACATGGCTACATTTCTATCGCATTTCTTTTTGTCTGTTATTTTTGGCAAATGAAATCATTTGCATAAAGCATGTACATTTTCCTTTTGTTTTCCAAAAAACAAATAAACAAACAAACAAACAAACAAAAAGCAAAGAAAAACAAACCCAAACTTTGCTTGACATAAATATTCAGGCAGCCCTGGATACATCTGCTGGTATTCTCTAATGGGCAGTGGGGCAGCAGAGGGTAGAGGGCAGCGGAGGGCCAGGGGATGGTCAAATGGGATGTCAAAGACTTTGATTTTTCAGTTCCTGCACCATTGGCCTGTCTTAATCATGCGACATGGGGCATTTCTCTGTTCTCAGAGGCATTCCCCAGCCTCAGAGCATCTTGGAAAGTTAATTAATCCCAAGGGAATTCATCCCTGCAACAGTGCAAAAGTTTATTCTATTCAATGCAAAAGTTCCCCCTGTGTTGGCTGGGGTCTGTGCCCTGTGTATGTGTTTGGGGCGAGCGAAGGAGCCCGGCTTGGCCCTCGCCCATTTCCCACCCCACACACCTCACCCTGAGCTTGGGTTGCAAAGGGACTGAGGGCTCAGGGGCTCCAGGAGAGATGCAGGTCTCAGGGGTTGCTGGGAGTCAGACCAAAGATTCGATCGGTGGCTGGAGAAGGACACAAACAATTCCCCTGCAGGGGCAGAACCGGCCCCTCCTGGGCTCTGGCAGAGACATTTCCTGCAGAGCAACAAGGATGACGCAACCGTCTTTACACCGTTGCCAGCAACGCTTCCCTGATGAACTGGAGCTGGCATCGGTGTCCCTGACACACCGGAGCCCGTCCCTGCACCGCACCTGGGTCATCCCGTCTGGCCTGCCCTGTATCATGTCATGTTAACTCTCATCCCACAGGTCCGGGGGCTATTTCAGCCTGGAGAGAAAAGAGAAACGTCCTTAGTGAGCCCAGTTCCGGAGCAATGGGGAGGGGGCAGGTCTGGGAGGCAGAATGGACTATGTCACGTAACGCAGTGAAACCAACGTGAAATGCAGGAAGGAAAGAACAAATTGTGCGAAATACAGATGAATCATTATAGAAAAGTCCCAAAATAACTGGTTCCAGCTGAGTTGAGTAATCAGGACACAGGAGCTGATAGATGACCACCAAGCCCCATGGGAACGGATTGACATATAGGATACTAAGCTGAGAGCAATGATACATTGACCTATAGGAAAAGGACACTTCAGCATTAGAAACATCCCCTACTGAATATGTGTCAACCATGTCAGTGTCACATAGGGTGTGTCTAGACTACAGGGTTTTGTCAACAAAAGTGGACTTTTGTCGACAAAACTATACCTGCGTCTACACTGCCGCTGAGTTCTGTCAACATAACGTTGACAGAACTCAGCAGTTTTGTCGACGGCTGTAAACCTCATTCTGCGAGGAATAACACCTTTTGTCGACAGAGTTCTGGCGAGAGAAGGCATTATTGCATCTACACTGTCCTTTGCGTCTACACTTTCATGTCGACAAAGCAAGCCACTTTTTCGACAGAGTCGATAGAAGCTTTGTCAACAGTATCTGTCGACAAAGCCTCTGTCTACAAAAGCCGGTAGTCTAGATGTACCCATTGTGTAAAAGTGGGACCCAGCCGAGGGGCAGGTGGGAGGAGAAGATGTCGTCCTTGGAAGGTCCAGATTGATGGTCCTGGTGATGGGGAAGGTGAAGATCATGAGAAAGAGGATGGGCTAACACCTGAGATAGTTCTAGAAGGAATGATGTAGGTCTGTGGTATGGAAATATGGATTTACACTCCCTAGATTATGAAATTGAACCATAGAGCTGGAAGAGACCTTAGGAGGTCATGAAGTCCAGCCCCCTGCCCAAGGTAGGACCAATCCCAGATAATGGGGGTGTTTGTGATGGTACTCGCTGCATTCATAAACTGTCTTTGTAACTATACCATAGTTTCTACAGTGTGAGTGTTGCGACTGTGCACATCTGTGAGATCTAGGTTGGTTATTAGGAAAAAACTATTTCCCTAGGAGGGTGGGGAAGCACTGGGATCGGTTCCCTGGGGAGGTGGTGGAATCTCCATCCCTAGAGGTGTTTAAGTCTTGGCTTGACAAAGCCCTGGCCGGGTTGATTTAGTTGGGATTGGTCCTGCCTAGAGCAGGGGGCTGGACTTGATGACTCCTGAGGTCCCTTCCAGCTCTATGGTTCTATGATTCTATCAAGGTTCCCAAGCATAGAATAATTAAATACTGGGCTTGATCCTGGGACAAAACCTGTCAACCATAAAGGTGGGTCATTAGAAATTAAAAGGTCATCTTAGATCGGGCAACACACACGAGTGGGGGAGCTGGTATCTTGTCTCTCCCGGAGGAGACAGCAGTTGCTCCTACAGGGGACCTCGCCTCCCCACTGCCTCTCGTACGTGTCCTGGCTCCCAGACGGCCACAGCAGCCCGGCCTATGAGGGCAGCGGAAGCCGCCAGCGTCCGGCGAAGGCCTCGTTGCCGGACCAGGAGTGGTTGCTCCAGGAGTGACCTTCGGTCTGTCACGGACCCATCCCCTGCACATGACCAGGCTGTGTCTGTGTTTGCCCTCATCTCAGATGCTGCCGATGGCAGGTAGGGGAACCCAGCAGTGCCAGGGTCAGTATCCGAGGTTCAGGCTCATTAGCTGGAGGTAAAAGGATCATAGGTCTGTGGGAGAAAGTGACCCCGGTGTTGCCATGGTGATGAACGACAAGTAGGGTGGGAAGCTCGGCTGAACCTGCATCAGACACCCTCGCATCAGGGTTCTGTGCCCCGGCAGGGCAGTGGGGCATAATGGTTAGTGCAGGTGGAGCTGGGAGCCAGAGCTCCTGGGTTCCCAGTCTTAGTGCTCGCCAGGGACTCCCTTAGTCCTCGCGAGGAGCAGGAGTACCAGCACCAATGGGCATGGCTCTTGGACAAGAGCGGGGCCCAGACTCTGAGCCTCAGGCATCTGGAGCCATGAGCCCTGGTGTTGTTTCTGCCCCTGCCCCTGACTCTGTGTGGTGTGTTGCTGGGAGAAAAACGTGTCACCCAATTTACTACAGTCAGTATATCCTGTGGTGATTTGCATCCACAGAGCACATGACAAGGAAGATGACGTTGGTACAACTTCCTATGCAACGACTGACCGAGTGACTGTTGTTTTGTTGCACTTCCAGGGAGGGCTGTTCTACCTCCGAGGAACATGATGAGACGTTTCCCCAGGGACGTGGTCCCAGAAGCCAGGGAAGGAAATAAAACCCCCCATGTTCCCTTCAGCACGTCCAGCACCTGCAGAGAGCAGATGGAATCGCTCTTCTTACACAAGGTAGGATAGAAATCAGTGAGTAAGGTCCCCAGCCATTCGCCCAGTGAAATCCATCGGCCTCCTGCCCAGCTCAACCCTTTCTTCACCTGAATTTCCCATACGTGTGTAGAGAACCTTTGTGTGTGTCTGACACATGGGCTGAGTGTGTGTTCATCTATCTATCTATCTATCTATCTATCTATCTATCTATCTATCTATCTATCTATCTATCTATCTATCTATCTATCTATCTATCTATCTATCTATCTATCCAAAGACTGATCTATTTGTCTCTTTCTGAACTAACTTAACGTGTGTCAGGTCAAGAGGTTCACATCAGGGCTGTGATGCCCATTTACACCAGGTGAAGATCTGGTTGACGATATCCATAGAGTCCCCCGAGCTCTAGGTGGGCACCAGACATGTTCCTCACCCCACCATGGAAGGTTGTGTGATGTTTGCAGTGCTAGGGTTTATTTCTGGCTTCTCCCTTCTCTCATCTTCACTCCCCTCTCTCCCCCACCCTCCTCCTCACTCACTGAATCCAAGCGGCAAAGTGAGCTCCTGAGTTGGCATCTGAACTCAGTTGGCCCGTGGGCTCAGTCCAGTCTCTTCTCATCCGAGAGGCCACACCTGGCTCCAAGCACCGTGAGGCCTTGGCTACATGACATGGGAAGGTCACAGTAAGACACACATCTCCAGCTCCGTAACTTACATAGCAGGCGTCGACGTAGCTCAAATCCCATCCAGACAGCGGGAGGCTGAGGGGAGCAAATGTTCCTCTCAGCTTGTCTTAGTGCTCGCCAGGGACTCCCTTAGTCCTCGCGAGGAGCAGGAGTACCAGCACCAATGGGGGCACCCTTTGAGTTCGATCTTCACCCACAACATCGAACCCAGAAGATTGACCATGGCAGTGTAGTGTCCTAAATGCGCTGCCCCTGGTACCCAAGAGTTACGTGCTGTCCCTTTCTACCCTCATTTCCCCCAATCCTCTCGCCACACAACATTTGTTTTTGTTGTTGCTGCATGTTCTCCTGTATTTAAATGGAGTGTCCAGATGCCTTGACTGAAACACACCCATGGAGACCAAAAAGCATCTCTAGAGACCGTATTCCAAACTGTGAGTAAATGCCTCCATTGAATCCATCCAAATGTCAGGCAAAAATATAGAAATAAATCAATATCCCTTCGGTACAGATGATTTCACTGGTGCTGATGTTCTCTAGGAGAAAACAGGGATGTCGATGGCAGTTTTCAATTTCCCATTTCATTTCTTATTAACTCTTCTGAGACACAATTCGGGCTTTCACTATTTGAACATTTCGTGTTCACTCCGGGTGAAAAGACGTATTGGGACATTGGCCATGAAATGGAAACTCTATTTTCAGCCAGCCCCGAATCCCCTGCACTGGGAATGTTCTGGAAAGTCCTTGCCAATGTCAGTCTAGGTTCCCCAAAGTCTCTCTTAGGCGTTGCATGACAATTCCCACCACTCTATACAGGGCACTTTGCCGCACCAGTGTTTGCATCTCTTGTTGGATTTATCTTGCTTTCTGTGATTAGCTTTGCATCTGGGTGTGCGTTTCTGCTGCACCCATTGGAGAGATGGAACCCTTTCCTCTGTGTGTGTGTGTGTGTGTGTGTGTGTGTGTGTGTAATTTTCCAGGCCAATGGTTGTATGATTTTACACAAATTCAGGTATGAGGAGAACTCAATCGTCATGTCTGGAAATGCGGACTCAGCGTTTAATACCAGTCTCCTCTCTCCCTCGTTCCCACGTTCCTTCATACCATGTCACTGTTATTTAATACGTGGCTTGGAAAGATGGATTTTGAAAGAGCTAAGAGCGTGCAAAATATGATATTAGCTATGTCTCATTTTTATTTCGAATCAGTCACTTCACTGTCAGGCTTGGTATTGTGAAAACCCTTCTCAGCCAATAACCTTGAGGTGAAACATTGGTGGGGAATGGCTGCTACACTGTCAGATGTTCCTTCCTGTAAAATTCTTCATCGCAAGGTCCTAGGACAAAGCCACGCAACTGGTGTAGGCCACTGCAGCTCATAAGAACAGAACATGAGAATGGCCAGAGTGGGTGAGACCCAAGGTTAAAGAATCCCAGAATCCCAGAGCTGGAAGAGACGTCAGGAGTCATCAAGTCCAGCCCCCTGCCCAAGGCAGGACCAATCCCAACTCAATCACCCCATCCAGGGCTTGGTCAAGCCGGGACTTAAAAACCTCTAGGGATGGAGATTCCTTCACCTCCCTAGGGAACCCATCCCAGTGCTTCCCCACCCTCCTAGGGAAATTCTTTCTCCTAATATCCAACCTAGACCTCTCCCACTGTAATTTGAGCCCATTGCTCCTTGTTCTGCCATCTGTCTGTACTGAGAACAGCCTCTCTCCACCCTCTTTGGAACCCCCCTTCAGGAAGTTGAAGGCTGCTCTCAAATCCCCCCTCACTCTTCTCTTCTGCAGACTAAACAAACCCAAATCCCACAGCCTCTCGTCGTAGGTCATGCTCTCCAGCCCCTTAAGTATCTAAACGCCGTTGGGGAATTGTGAACACACCTCGCTGCAGGGAGGCTCAGATGGGGAGGGTGGGGGGAGGTCAGTCGACTTGGGTTCAAAGTGGATCGATCACTTCTCTGGATCTGCTGGCAATGCTCCTCCTAATGCACCCCAATATGCCATTAGCCTTCTTGGCTACAAAGACACACTGTTGACTCATATCCAGCTTTCATCCACTGTAATCCCCAGGTCCTTTTCTGCAGAACTGCTACTTAGCTAGTCAGTCCCCAGCCTGTAGCAATGCTTGGGATTCTTCCGTCCCAAGGGCAGGACTCTACACTTGTCCTTGTTGAACCTCATCAGATTTTTTTTGGCCCAAACCTCCAATTTGTCTAGGTCACTCTGGTCCCTATCCCTACTCTGCAATGTATCTACCTTTCCCCCTAACTTAGTATCATCCACAAACTTGCTGAGGGTGCAATCCATCCCCTCAACCAGGTTATTAATAAAGATGTTAAACAAAACTGGTCCTAGAACCGATCTTTGGGGTACTCTGCTAGAAACCGATTGCCAACCTGACATCGAGCCGTTGATCACTACCTGCTGGGCCCAACAGTCTAGCCACCTTTCTATCCATCTTACCATCCATTTATCCAATCCATAGTCCCTTAACTTTCTGGCAAGAATATTGTGGGAGACCGTATCAAAAGCTTTTCTAAAGCCACGGTAGATCACATCCATTGACTTTCCCATGTCCACAGAGCCAGTTACCTCAGCATAGAAGCTAATCAGATTGGTCAGGCACGACTTGCCCTTTGTGAATCCATGCTGACTATTCCTGATCACTTTCCCCTCTTTCAAGTGCTTCGAAATAGATTCCTTGAGGATCCCCTCCATGATTTTTCCGGGGACTGAGGTGAGGCTGACTGTTCTGTAGTTCCCTGGATCGTCCTTCTTCTCTTTTTTAAAGATGGGCACTACATTTGCCTTTTTCCAGTCATGCGGACTGGATCTCCACAAGTTTTCAAAGATAATGGCCAAAGGCTCCTCAATGACATCTGCCAACTCCCTCAGCACCCTCGGATGCATTAAACCTGGGCCCATGGATTTGTGTATGTTTAGCTTTTCTAAATAGTTCCTAACTTGTTCTTTCTCCACCAAGGGCTGGCCTCCTCCTTCCCATAGTGCATTTCCTAGTGCATTTGTCTGGAAGCTGACCTTGTCCGTGAAGACAGAGGCAAAGAAAGCATTGAGTACTTCAGCTTTCCCCACATCATCTGTCACTAGGGGTGTGTCTAGACTACATGCCTCCTTCGACGGAGGCATGTAGATTAGCCAGATCGGAAAAGGGAAATGAAGCCGCGATTAAAATAATCGCGGCTTCATTTAAATTTAAATGGCTGGGGCCCGCCCC